CTGCTATCGTGCATCAGAAAAGAACTCTAATTGGATTTTTGTAAGAGAATGCCCTCAACTCAAGAACAAAGTATTACTCAAGCCACAAAACTCAATTAACTTGCTTGTTCCGCTGAACTAAGTTGAATGATGTTGTTTTTGTCGCCTGTTGGTTTAAAAAAAAGTCAATGGCTTCAAACATTTTCTGCGTTTTTACCCCAATATAAACTTTAGTTCTTTTTCTCAAGTTTTGGAGAACACACTATTTGAACCTAAATATGTTTAAAGTAAATTACTTTTCTGGGTACCAAAGCGATAAATATATTTGTAAATTTCAATCAGTAGAAAACTATGTATAACGACGAAGATTGAATGAAATTTTTTGAATTGAACTTCAAGATATTTTTGAACATTTTTGGAACAGAAAATTTAGTTAATGTTTATATGCTGAATTAAAATTGATTTTGGCGTCATTAGACGTAATTTTTGAAACACCCTTTAATCTAAAAAATTTTTTTTTTATTTTTTTTTTAGATTTTTGAGACAAGATTTAAAAACTCAAATTGTAATCTGATTATATTAAGAATTTACGATGTCAAGATATATATTTAGTGATGAAAATAACTTTTATCGCACTCACTATGAATAATCCAAAACATTGAAGAGACAGCAATAAAGTCTCCATTAGAAAAATAAAAATTATCCTCCAGCAAGGCCTGTACGGTTTTGATTCTTACGTGACTCTTTAGATGTATTTCAAACAAATTTTAATTTCTGCAAAGTGTTCAGTGGACCCAGGGTAGTATGTTTTGAATGATTTTCAAAAACTGGGCTAATTTCTATTTTAAAATTATTACAACTTTAACACAATAAATAATACAGTTGCGATTCGTAAACAAAAATTCAACGAACAACCCTTTAAAATCCCTATTTATAGTATAAATATCTCTTAGAACAAAAAGAAATTACGAAACAATTAGAAGACTCAACAAAAATAAAAATAAATTTAAATTAGTTTCAAAAAATTGCCCTTAAATCCATTTAGAAGAAAAACATATGACAAAAAATTTTGGAATTTTTATTTGCATTTACTAAATATGTGTATATAAGCGTTTATAACGTTTCTTCTATATAATGTTTAAAACAGAAAAACACGTTGTCTTCATTTTTTTAATAAGACAATTTTATATCTCAATGAGTTTTCAAGAGGTATATTATGTTTTTGGACTGAAAGCATAAAGATCTTTTTAATTCAAATGACATCCGTTCATAAAATAAATCCCATTTTAAAATATTGAAATTTTTTTGTATAATTTTGTCGCCAGTGAATTTTTTTTTTTGTATACCTGAGAATATAGACTTTCAAAAACGCGTGAAAAAGACTTTTTAAAAGTCTGATAAAAAGGAAAAAAGGGAAAAAATGACAGAAAAGAAAGAAAAAAAGAAAATGCCTTTGTCGATTATATTTATAAAAATTAAGACAATGTTGAATTTAAGGAGGTGTTAAGGGACAAAAAACAAAGGAGAAGAGATTTTCCAAAGGCCAACTTTGGCTTTAACCGATAACAAAATAAATGTTAAAAGTGAATTTTTGTTTAAAAAGGAAAAAAAAAGCATCTATTGAAAGATAAAAGAGATTATTATTTTTTTTGGATTTTTTTTTCAATGATTTTAACATTGAATTATTAAAAGAGTACCAACGTTTAAATGTCCTCATTTGGATAGCATTTCTGATTGACTGAAAAAATAAAAAAACAAAAAGAAAGGATAAAAAGAACAATTTGGTTTCAAAAATGAATAAAATAAAGAAAATCAAAAACATTAAAATTTACAAAATAAACACAGAAAAAATAAATATATAAGATATAAAAATATATTGCCATTAAAAATTAAAAGAAAAAATAAAAATGAAAAAAAAAAAAAAGAAAAAAAAAGGAAACCAAAAAAAGTTAAAAAAAAATCTGTTAAATAAATAGAAAAAGAGAATCTACAACACAAATGGGGAAAATGGAATGAAAATAAAAAAAATACCAAAGTTGGCATGTAAACAAAATCGAAAATCAAATGATGTAAAATCAATGGTATAACAATTTGAAATTAAACTAAATAAATCTTTAAGGAAAAAATAAAAAAAACTATAATTGACAGTAAGAAATAGATTAAAAAACAAGAAAATCAAACGAATTAAAACAGAATCTGACACAAAAGCAGTTTAATTGTAAATTGAAAAATATGGGAGCATAAAGATAGAACCTGTTAATTTCAGCAAAATAATGGGAAAGATATAAAATCATAATGGACACCTGAAATAAAAATTAATAAATAAGTCTCAGTGTTCCAAGACTAAAACAATATACCTAAAATATTTTGATATAACATCATGCACTCCATTTTTTAGTTTCTGGAATATAATGTTGGTTATCTTATTTATTGAGTTTAAGGAATAAATTTTATCTAGCATGTTATATTATATTATTTGCATTGGCATAGTACATTTTACAAGGTATTCAATTTTAATTTTGACTTGTTAATGAAATGTGTTTTCACGCCTGCACTTGAGATAAGTTCTGATTGTTTACTTAGTAGTTTGTGTCATCCATTTGTGGAGAAATAAAATAAAAGGACTTTCCCAAGAAAAAGCATATGAAAGTGAATAAAAAAAACTAGAAAAAATCCTAAAAGCTCTATATTCCAAACAGAAATGCAATTATATTCAAAAAAGACAAAATAAAATATAAGTAAAAAAGCATGAAATGTAATTCAAAAAACAAAAAAGTAAATATTCAGTGTAAATGGAAAAACAAATAACTGGGAACAAACTTGAAAACAGCACTAAATAAAATATCTAAAATGAATAAAAAATATACATCAGAAAAAAGTTTAAGCTCCTTTATGAAAATATGTTAAAAAAATTGATCGAAATCCTTTTTCATTTTTTTTTTTTTTCAACCAAATATATGAGAAAAAATGAAATAAAATATCTGAAAAAAAGAAAAGTACAAATGAAGTTTTTAAAACAGACATTTAAAATCCCAAAATTGTATATATGAGAATATCATTGCTCATGAAATATCTGAAAAGGTAGAAAAGCAATTTCTGGAAAAAAAACTAAATGCTGCTTCAAAAGCAAATAATCTGACAAATAGATTTAAATCAAATATATAGAAAAGTATAAAATGAAATACCACAAAAAAGCTCAGCAGAAAAGCAAATATCTAACAAATATTCCTGTTTCTAATATGAAAAAATCAGAAAGTGTCACTATTTCAAAAAGCAGAAAAGCAAATAAATAAGAAAAGCATTTAATCAAATGTATCAGAAAAAGTTTATATGAAATAAACTATATTAAAAAAAGTAGCGAAAAAAACAAAAAAAAGGAGAAATTAAAATGAAATACCATAAAATAAATATATTTGAAAAGCATGAAATATAAAGAAAAATCAGAAAAGAACTTAATAGAAAAAATGGAAAATGATTTCATACTGAAAAGTAATAAATAAATATATGGGAAAAAGATAAATCTGCATATGGAAAAATATAATTTCAAATTTATGAGAAACAAAAATGAAATATCTTTTAAAAGCAGAAAAAGAATTTGTTTTCATTTTTTACAATTTTAAATTGAATAATTTATAAAGTTTTAAATCTTTGAGAAACTAATTTTCAATGTAATAAATTCTTAGGAAATATTGTTATTAAGTAAAACTATATTTACTAATCATAATTTGTAAAGCTCATTACAATCTGATGACCCCAAATAATTTTAAAAGAATTTTGATTTGTTTTTGAATGTGTGATTATGTACAGAATTTCTGAAGTATGGATGTACAAACCAATAAATCTATCATTAAAAGTAGCATGTTTTAAGGGTTGTCGCCCTTATAAACTATCATCTGCTTCATCATACTTAACTATGAACATGTTCAGCTGCCAATAAATCAGAAAACCAAAACCTTGTAATTAAGAAATATTTGTATACAACATTTTATATGCTAAGTAACATTTGTTTCAAATTTAGCTTTAAATTTGTTAATTTTACTCAAATAACATTTCAGAAATATATATTTTATTTTGGCAAGATTTTTAAAACAGAGGATTAAATATTGTTTACAAATGTGTCAAAAATGGCTGATTTTTATCAATTTTACTGAAAAAAAATTAATTTCAATTAATATAATTTCTGTTTGAAATACACCACAAAGTATTTTGCTTACTGGAAATAGTAAATTTTAAATCCTTTAGCTTTAAATTAAAGCTAAAATTAAAGCTAAAATGAAAGCTTCAAGAAAGCTTTTTCATTTTTAAAATTCATTTTAAATCTCATGTATACCAAATTAATGGAAGTATCTTTACAAAAGGGACACAGCATATAGAAGTAGTAGCTTGTGAAAATGAATGGCAGAACAGTTTGGTTTGATTTATGGCATATCAACCACAATGGGTTTTTTTTTTTTATGCTGTCAAGATTTTTTTATTGCTGGTAATATTATTTTTTCAAAAAATGTATTGCAAGAAATAATTTTTAAAAAAGTATTGCTGGCATCAAACCCTATTTTTATACTTTCATAGTGTTTTGACCCCCTTTGTGGGGTTAACTATTTGCACATAGCTGGGACCCTGACAGGTACTACCACCCCAGGTCAGAGTGGACCTGGGAACACCAGCAATTAAGAGGTAGTTCCACACTCCTCAAAACCTTCTAATCAAAGGCCTTGCTGTCGGATGTAGTTTATCGTCTTACCCAGGACAAGATGACCAAACAGAGTTTAGGAGATATAACAAAAAGACAATATTTTTTAAGTGCTACAAATCAGAGTGAAACCATAACAAACATTTGAATGTTGAAACAGATTTAGCCTATAACACAGGAGCTTGTGATATTATTTACCAACTCTACTCCCTAATCCAAATTCCTTTAAATCTCAGATTGCAACCATAAAGAAACATTTTACTTACAGCATTTTATTTGCTTTCAACACTGACATTGATGCTGCTCAGTGTCTGGTCGATTGGTTGAACTGTTACCGAATATAACACACAGATGTACGTGCACCTAAGTTATCCATCACAGCAATGTAGACGAACACTGAAATTAAAGAGAGAATATATAATCCCCTGGATTAATTCAAAATCATATTTTCTAAGTTTAAGTGGACTTTTAATAAAATATCAACTCTTTGGGTCATTTTACACCAAAAATAATTTATTTGTTTTTATATTTAGGAAAATGAACAATTTTTTTTTTTTTTTTTATATTTTCAGATATAATCCAATGGATTTCAGAAATGTTATATTCCTGTTTATTTTAATATTTTTGAATAGTTCTTTTCAGCTGTTTACCTTGAAGTGGTGTAATGGATAGTGGCTCGATTGAGGAATCGGAGAGCCAAGTTCAAATTCCAGTCAAATCCATTGTATTCACTTATATGCTAATACCTTTGGGAAAGGTGTTAATCCTCTTTTCTCCATCCAGCTATGGGTAAATAGCAGGACAGACCAGATTCTATAGCCTTAGATGACAACTGGTCTATACATGGAAAAAATATACATGATAGCCTAAGCATGTATCATGCATGGCACCTAACTGACTTACCTTGAAGAAATTGTGTCTTTTGGATTCAAGATCAATACATTCAATTAGAAAATATTTTACTGTATATTGAAGTTTGGCATGTGGGACACCATGGTGGTTCTTGTTTCAGTAAGAATGTCATATTTGTAAGTTTAATGAAAAGAATGACAACATTTATGAAAATTTATTCATTACTGTCAAGGACTGATTAATTTTGCCTCCTATATATATATATATATATATATATATATATATAATTATTAAATTAGAAGTCAAAAGGTCAGCTTGGGGATTAAATAATTTTGTAGTGAGTTGATTTTGATAAGTATTGAACAGTTTTACTAATTTAATTATTATTATTGCTGCTCTAGTCTATAGTAAGCACCTTATTGGCAGAAATTTTGATAAATTTGATATACATTAAATTACATAATTTTTACATATATTATTTGTTAGTATTAACAGATAGTATTTTTAATTTATTATATTATATTATATATATTATATAATTATAGCTGAGCCATCTTTGTATAGCTTCAGATGGCTGGGTTTTGAATTCAGAATTGTGTTTAAGCCTAGACTGGTTGTCAAACATAGCTACAGAGCCCAGCCTGCTGTTATTTAATCCATAGCTGGGGAGAGATAAATGATTCATACTATTCACATCAACTTCACCTTTAGCTAAAGAGCCCTTTGATGTTATGACATATCTGAAAATATTACAAAAATTTTTCCATGTCTGAGATTTTGATTGAAGTTAAAAAAATACAAACACAAAACAGGCGACCCCTCATATTTCCTAAAAAAAAAAAATAATTCACATGTAAGTGACGTGTAATTGATGTGCAAATGATAAAAAAAAAATCCCAAATATCTCTAACAGCTTTGAAACCTTAGTTTTATACATTTTATTGTAATTTTTTTTCTTTTTACCTCTAGGAAATTTTTACTCTAATGGTTTAATATTGTTATCAAAAGAAAAGTTTTTATTGATTTTATATTTTCCAGAAGGCAATCCATCAAATGAAAATAAGACCATGAAATCTTTTATTTGAATTTACTTCATTTAGTTTCAAATTGTTGTCAGATAAATTTGTTTGTTTTTTACCAATGTTATTTGACTTAACATGCAAAATATTTTTTGCCATAGTTTTATCCGTTCTTTTTTTTTTTTTTTTTACAGATCAGTCCATCTACTAAAACTTTACTTTATTATTTTATATTATTCTTCACTGATTTGTCAAAAATTGTTAAGGACTAATATTATTAAAATCAATGGAGGGGAATGCTCTAACAACCCTATATATATATATATATATATATATATATATATATATAGAGAGAGAGAGAGTTTAATGGAAAGAATAACATAACTATATATATATATATATAGAGATAGATAATATTAGTGATATATATATATATATATATATATATATATATATAGAGAGAGAGAGATAATATTAATGATATATATATATATATATATATATATATATATACTGGGACTACTAGAAATTATGAAGGAATTCAGAGAGGGAGAGGGAAAGTGAAGGGAAGAGAGAAAGAGGAAAGCAAAAAGAGAGAAAAAACCATTCTTATGGGTTTTTTTTTTTTAATTGTAGAGATAGATATTGTCAGATAAATGTTTATTTTTTCCAATGTTATTTGAATTAACACACAAAAATAGTTGCCATGGTATTATGTTTTTGCAGTTCTATTGCTACTCTACAACTTTATATTATTGACAGGTTTGTTAAAATTGTTAATAATACACGATAAAATAGAGAAAAAATGCACAAATTTATTTGACAACCTAGGGAAGATTGGCCTATTCAGTTGTGGTTGGTAACCAATCTAGGAGACACATGGAAGAGATTATGGGGGTCACAATTAACTGAGCTATGGACAAGTAGGTTGCATGATCTGTGATTTAATTGAGGACAGCAAGGATTACAACCATATCACATTGAAAGACTGGTTCTTATATAATCACTGAAATTAAGCCACATTCGAAATTTGGTCAGTAACTAGATAGGTGACTGCTTAGGAATGCCAGATGATGTAAGCTTGAATATGTGGGTGGTATAATGTATAAAGGGTTCAAAATTGGAAATCGGAGAGCTTAGTTCCAATTCCAGTCAGGTTTGTTATATTCAATATGTACAAATATATCATTAGGAAAGGTATGAAATCACCTCTTCTCCACCCCCTGCATGTGGGTTAATTTATAGGACTTGTATCAGTATATCATTATCTCTCAAATAATTCTTAGAACCTAAAAATATTTTCTGACTTTAAATAACCTGCAGAATATTGATGGACAGCAGCAGAAGAAGAATACATTTAATGGTTTACCTTTGTCTCCATTTTCAGCATTTCCAGCTGGAAGCATAAATTTCAGAGTGGCATTCAATGTGTTCAGCCCTCGATAGATTAAGTTCTTCCTTTGATTCTTCTTCAGATTGTAGCTGACTTCATAGACTAATGGTTGGTGCTGGATAAAAGAAAAAAAGAGATTGAAAAAGACTTCAATTATAAATACTAATAAAAACTAATCAAAAGATAAACCCATAAAGAAATCTTTGTGAAAAAAAAAAAAAAAAAAAAAAAAAAAAAAAAAAAAAAAAAAAAAAAAAGGGGAAAAAGAAAAAAAAGGTTTTCAAAAAAGGAGATTGAAAAAAGACTTATGAATACAAAACTAATTGAAAGATAGACCAAAAGAGTTCTCATGGAAAAAAAAAAAAAAACATTGAAAAAGACTTGTTATAAATACAAAACTAATCAAAAGATAAACCCAAAGAGTTCTTGTGAGAAAAAAAAAAAAAAGAAAAAAAAGAAAATGAAAAAAAATGAAAAAAAAAAATGAAAAAAAAATGAAAAAAAAAAAAAAAAAAGAAAAAAAAGAAAAAATGAAAAAGAAAAAAAAAAAATGAAAAAAA